CGGAGCCCAGCAGGCCGAGGCTGCGGTGGCCGGAAGCATGCCACTGCCCTCCAGCCTGGGTGACAGAGTGAGACTCCAACTCAAAAAAAAACAAAAACAAAAGCAAAGTGCTAGGATTATAGGTGTGAGCCACTGAGCCTAAGCCCAGTGATCCTTTTGTGTGTCTTTAAACACTAGTCCCATCACTTCTCCCCAAGGGTAAGTGTTGTGTGTGCAGCAGGGATTATGAAAATACCTATTTGAGCAGGAGAATCTTTCTGTTCAAGAAAGTTCCTTTGAATTCTAAAATTCTATAAGCACATGAGGCTAAATGAATTTTGATTCAGAAAGAACACTCCCCAAACGGGGCTGCGGGACAGGCTTATCCAGCCACAATGACTGTTCTTAGTCCAAATACTTTCCATCCCACTTAGCCTCCTCCACATATAACTTCTCCCAATAATACTAAGAATCCTACATAGGGACAAAACGGAGTTTCACCATAACCCACTCATTTTTCCATCAGCTTCAGAGGCCCTCTCTAATACAGTATAGGAGCAAATTCTTCCTTAGAAACCATGACCTAACCATCCCAGAGCAAGCCCAGCTGCCAAGGCAGTGCAGAGAGGCAGGGTGACGAAAGGAAAGGGTAACACGAGGAATGTCACTCCTTTATGAACTCCCCATTTTCCCAGACAGTCAACATGCAAGGTGTGGAGATGCAGTCGAGATCAGAGACTGGGAACTCCTGAGACAACAACCACATGGACTTGAAACAGCAACAGATGTTGGACAGACACATGGGAATGAGGAATGGCCACGGTGGGTTGAGAATTGAGTACCTGGACTCCTGGAGAATATCGCCTCTTCTGGGCCTGAGAGGGTCCAGCAGGTTATTATAAAAACAAGAGAGGGCACAGAAGACAGGAGAGCAAGTCAGAAAGAAACAGCCATGGAAGAGCTATGACCCAACTGTGATGAATGAACAAACCAACTTAAAACCCCCAACAGAACACGAGGGTCCATGAAGGGTATTCAGCAAGTCTTTGCACCTCTCAAAATTATATGCAAAACCGTAAAGAAAGTGCTTATACGTTTTTCTGAGGAGAGACTGTTACTGTATTCAGATTCTTTAAAAGACCTTTCTATCCTGTGGAGGGTCCTCAAGCTTTTAGAAAGAGCTTTATAAAGTACACAGTGCTATACTGACAAGGCACACCCCGCTTATATCTCTGGGAGTCAGAAGCTCAGGTCACAAGTCTATACCTAGTCTACTGTATTTCTATTGCAAGGGGAAAAGACAAACTGTTAAATTCTTCCAGATCTAAGATGTTCTTTACCGCCTAGGATCTCAAGAGATAGCTCTTGTCCAGAAAACAAAAATCCCACCACTTGAAAGACTATGAAATAAGCTTTAGTCCAAAGGGATCATTTACCCTCTGAGTGTCATGGACATACATTTCTACATAACTGTTGTCATTCTAACCTACGACATGTGGGCAAGGAAGAAATCCTGTGGGAGCGCTGCACCATGATAGATTTAGAAAAACCTTCAGGCTCGAGGGTACTTAGCTGTGCTCCAGAAAACCGCTGCAGTTCTAAGCCACTAGTAACAAGAGATAACTATACAAGCTCAGCTCAGCCCTGCTCTGTGGGAAGGGTAGATGAGGGTGCAGACCTCAAACCATCATCCTTCTAATGCAGTGAGCCCCAGTGACGAGCCAGGCACTGTTTCAGATGACAAGGGTACAATGGGAAACAAAACGACAGGTATCTGCTCTCATAGAGCTCACATTACAGCAGAAGAGACAAACAGGGAAATAAAATTATCTTGAATAGTGATAAATACTATGACGAAAATAAAACAGGTAATACGGCAGAGACGGATGAGGGCCCCTCTCTGAGGAAGCTACTTCTGAGCTGAGACCCAAGGAATTAGAGGGAGCCACCAAAGATCTGAAGCACAAGAAGCATGAGCTTGCATATCCAAGGAGCCAGAAGATGACAGGCATGCCTGAAACACAGCCAGTGAGGAAGAGGAGGGCGTGAGGCGAAGCAGCAGCCATGGCACATGGTCTCATGGGCCACAATGAGTTTGGGATCGGCCTCAGAGCAGCCCCTCAGCTGCAGAATCTGTGCAGGACACAGAAATGCAGGAAATCAATTGATGATTAAATTGAGATAGTTACTCTTCCACAACTATCATTTAGAACAAGAAAACTGTGAGCATATTATCAGTTTATAGAAACCAGTTTCTGAGAGAAAGGTCATAATTCCAGTGACAATTAAGGAAAAGAGGGGATGAGAAATGCCCTGGGGAGTTTTGATGACCCCAAGGCTTGCTTCACTTATCACCTCCAGCAACCCTGATCAGAAATTTAAGTTACAACTTTAAAGAGACTGTCTAGGATGATATTCTTTGACCTAAGAATGCCTTACTCTTCCCAATGCTGGTGTGGCATCCAATTACCAGGCAACAGCCAAGGTAAGCTGGGCCTAATGAGCCTCTTGGAGAGATTTTCTTTTTAAAATTTTTTAGAAAGAGAGTCTCATACTGTTGCCCAGGCTGGAGTGCAGTGATACAATCACAGCTCGCTGCAGGTTCAAACTCCTAGGTTCAAGCGATCCTCCTGTCTCAGTCTCCCAAGTAGCTGGAACAACAGGCACTTCAAGTCACCTTTCCCTGCTCTGGGATAGATTTTCAACAGCACATGCATGTGGGTCCCTAAGTTAAAGAGTCTCATTCAAGCCAGGTATGTTGGCTCTCACACCTGTAATCCCAGCACTCTGGGAGGCCAAGAGGGGAGGATCACTTGAGGACAGGAGTTCAAGACCAGCCTGGACAACACAGCGAGACACCATCTCAAACAAAAAAATAAATAAATAAATAAAAAGAAAGAAAAGAATCTCATTCAGTAGGTATACAGTGGGGTGCAGGATTGCATATGTATGTATGTATGCATGTATATCTTTTTTTGGAATATGAGTCTTTGTTGCTTAGGCTGGAGTGCAGTGGCAGACTCACAGCGACTGTAGCCTTGGCCTGCTAGGCTCAGGCGATCCTTCCACCTCAGCCTTCCAAATAGCTGTAACTACAGATGTGCACCACCATGCCCAGCTAATTTTTGGATTTATTGTAGAGACAAAGTCTCACTAAGTTGCCTAGGCATGTCTTGAACCCCTAGACTCAGGTAATCTTCTCGCCTCTGCCTCCCAAAGTGCTGAGATTACAGGTATGATCCACTGAGCCTGGCAGATTATTTTCAAAAAGCACAACATAGCTGGGCTTGGTGGTTCAGCCTGTAATCCCAGCACTTTGGGAGGCTGAGGCGAGTGGATTGCCTGAACCCACGGGTTCAAGACCCTCCTGGGAACTTGGTGAGACCTCGTCTCTACAATAAATCAAAAACTAGACAGGCGTGGTAGCGCGCGCCTGTAGTTCCGGCTACTTGGAAGGCTGAGGTGGAAGGATCACTGGAGCCCAGCAGTTCGAGGCCGTGGTGGCCAGAAGCGTGCCACTGCCCTCTAGCCTGGGTGAGAGAGTGAGACTCCAACTTAAAAAAAAAAAAAACACAACATTAGATTGTAATATGCAGCCAGATTTAAGAAACGCTGCACTAGACATAGAACCCCAAGCTTTACAGCTGGAATCTGTCTACATCAGCAACTCATGACTTGGCCTTCAACAGTAAGTTGTTAAATGCTATCCTATTTTCTATTCCTAGTCAAGAGTTCAGGAAGTGTTTCTTGGGTAGCCGCTCTTTTTTTTTGAAAGTAGGATTTATTGAGAAGACAGAAAAGCTCCCACAGTGGGAGGGGACTTGAGGGGTTGCCTGGGTAGCCACTCATTTTACACAGTAGCAATATTTTTCCTTTTGGAAAACAGCCTAGAGCTAGAACCAAAGGTTGAAGAATCATACTGATTCAGAAAAGGTGGTAGTTTCATTCCTACTTTAAGAGTCACCAGAAATGAGAAACTCCCATCTACTGTACAATGACTATTGTCTGTAGGGTAGAGAAATGTTTTCAACTTTTTATACTACAAGATCATTTAATTTTTTTTTTTTTTTGAGTGGGAGTCTCACTCTGTCGCCCATGCTAGAGTGCAGTGACACGCTACCAGCCACCGCAGCCTTGACCTGCTGGGCTCAGGCGATCCTTCTGCTTCAGCCTTCCAAGTAGCTGAAACTACAAGGGTGTGCTACCATGCCCAGCTAATTTTTTGATTTATTTAAGAGACAAGGTCTCACCATGTTGCCCAGGCTAGTCTCGAACCCATGGACTCAGGCAATCCTCTCACCTCGGCCTCCCAAAGTGCTGGGATTATAGGCTTGAACTATCGCACCCGGCCTTCATTTTTTTTTTTGAATTGAAGTCTCATTCTGTCACCCAGGCCAGAGTGCAGTGGCATGCTCCTAGCCACCGCAGCCTTGACCTGCTGGGCTCAGGCGATCCTTCTGTCTCAGCCTTCCAAGTA